GGTGTAGAATGTGTCAGTCTGTGATCGCGGTGTAGAATGTGTCAGTCTGTGATCGCGGTGTAGAATGTGTCAGTCTGTGATCGCGGTGTAGAATGTGGCAGTCTGTGATCGCGGTGTAGAATGTGGCAGTCTGTGATCGCGGTGCTGAATGTGACAGTCTATTAGATCGCGGCGTAGAATGTGAGTCTGTCAGATCGCGGTGCAGAATGTGACAGTCTGAGAACAAGACGCAGGATATCTGTCAATTATGTTCATTGTGCAGGATATGTTCCAGCCTGAGGTCAGGATGAAGGGTACGCGTCCATATGAGGCAGTATGGTCACTCCTTTAGGCGTGCGCTCAAGCACCAAAATATCGCCGTTGAAGAGGTCCTCCTTCGTCAGGAGGTCCTGGAGGGACGCCGCTGCTGGCAGGACGCAGCCGCTGTCGCGTCTGAAGAGCTGCAGTACAGCGCCACCTTCCACAGGCTGCTTGTCGTTGTTGTTCTGCACCTGAAATGTGATATCATATCTTAGAAAAATTCCACCGCACCCTGATTAAGTCTGCAGGAAGCATAAATTCCACAATAAATTAATTATATAATAAATTAATTATTAAATTATAAATGTCTGGATCACTGCGACGATATCAGCGTTATTCTACAGCGCGCTGTTACTCCGTATCTACAGACTGTGATACTCACTACCAGACATTCAGGTATGAATAGCATTGACGATAGTTAATGTGCTCGTAGATAAGAGATTAATAATTCATAAATTTGTATTCTGACTGAGACGGTGAGGTAAGCAAGAGGCCTATCCATTTAATTCAATTCCTGGCAGTGCCCTAACGTCCAGCCTCCCCGGTCCCACCTTCATCCTCATCACCTTCTAACCCCACAAGCTGGACACAACTTCACCTTCCGTCAACTACCAGTAGCGCCTTATTCAGTCTTTCAATTTCTTCATCACCTCCCTGTACCCTATCGGCTCCCGAGGCTTACCCATCCAACACCCCCACTACCAGCACCCCAGGCGTCACCTCCCTCGCCATCACCCCCCAGCACCTCTACTTCCAGCTCCCCAGGCGTCTGCTCCCCAGGCGTCACCTCCCTCGCCATCACCCCCCAGCACCCCAGGCATCACCTCCCCCGCCATCACCCCCCAGTACCTCTACAGCCCTCTTAGTCCCACCTTGGCCAGGTCTGCCACGGCATCGAGGGTCCTGCCGAGGCTCCAGGCTGAGGGCACGCACACGGCGACGGAGGGCTGCGTGTGTCCCGAGGGCAGCAGCACCTGCAGGTACACCGCCTCCTGCTGCAACAGGCTGCTCTGCCCAAGCTTCACAGCCTTCATCTTCATCTTCATCAGCTGAACCTGAATGAAAACAAATTTATTCAGAAAACAGAAACACAATTACTTGCTAGTAATCTCGTTTCCGGTAAGTATTTATAGAAGGTAGCTCAAAAAGCCCTAAATACCACGGGATGATGGGTGCTCTAGAAATACCAGTCTTACGCTCAAGGCCACAGGTTACAAACCTTGACCACAGGACACAAACCAAGAATACAGGTCACAAACCAATGCCGCAGGTCACAAACCTTGACCACAGGTCACAAACCAAGACTACAGGTCACAAGTCACAAACCAAGACTACAGGTCACAAGTCACAAACCAAGACTANAGGTCACAAGTCACAAACCAAGACTACAGGTCACAAGTCACAAACCAAGACTACAGGTCACAAGTCACAAACCAAGACTACAGGTCACAAGTCACAAACCAAGACTACAGGCCCCAAGTCACAAACCAAGACAACAGGTCACCAACCTTGGCCGCCAGTTTTGGGTCTCTGTGGCCTGCCTTTCTGGCAGGTCGGTGAGCCAGAGACGCTGCGATCGCGTCAACCTTCTCATGCGCCAGCTGCTCTTTGGTGGGCGACTGTAGAGAGGGAATCATTAACGCACTGCTTCAGGCTATGAAAAAAGAATTACTTAAATGTTGTAATAATTCTACAATAATCTACAAGGAAACCAGAAAATCAATAGGAGGGGGAACATAATAACTGGATGCAGGACATAACATTAGATTCACTCATTAGAGATCATCCTATTTTTATCTCAAACAACAGGAGTATCCGTTAGTTATGGAGATTACTTATACATGCCTAAATATGTATTGGATCACTAAATGAAGGTGGTGACGTGATGATGTGTGGTAACGTTGCACATCATTATTTACATCGCAATAGGCGATGTAAATAATACCTGGGTCGTCCAATACTCAGAATGAGAATTTTTGCTTATTAATTACCTCCAAACAACAGGAGTATCCGGTAATTGTAGATTACTTTAACATGCCTATGTATCGGATCGTTACCTGAGGCAGGAGGCTGGTGCAGGCGTGGTCAGGAGGGTGTCGGTGGCTGAGGCAGAAGTTGAGAGAACAAGAGGGACAGGTTATGGCCACCAGGGAACGCGTCTCGCAGTCTCCTATTGCGCACGGGAACTGGAAGCTGCAGTTGTCTGATCCCTGAGCACAGTTATAAACAGTTACTGTAATGGTATATAACTGTAATGGTTTATAACTGTACAGGCATTTAACTGTAACGGTTGATAACAGTAACGGTAAGTAACTGTAACGGTTGTTAAGTGTAACGGTAAATAACTGGAACAGTTATATACGGTATAGTCTACTGAAGAACTGCCCTGACACTGGTACAAATTTCAGAATCGTTGAAGTCAGGAATTAATTCACGTTAGCGCGGAACAAACCACTGTATTATCTGTGTTAGGCACGGTATCTGTGT